AGAGGACCAGATATCCGTAAGATCTTAAAAAAACATCATAGAGAAATTATTTGTAACGATGAAAAGGCCATTGAGGTTTTACCAGAGGGAGCCATTTGTGTGGCATATAAACGTAATGCCAATTTAAAAGAATTGTTGGCCCCCTCTAATCCTTTTAAATTTAAAAGCCGGTCGTATATGGAAACAGGCTGTTTTAGGTGTAAAGCTAAGCGATGTGACTGTTGTAAAAACTTTTTAGAAGAAGGTTCCACCTTTAGTTCCACAGTTTCTAAAAGAGTATTTCAGATTGGTAAAGATCTTACTTGCACCTCCGATAATGTTGTTTATCTTGCTAGTTGTGTTGCTTGCAATTTGCAAGGAGTGCTTATGTCACAAAAAATGTTTTTTGATATTTGATAGAGGACAAAAAGTTAGTTAATAGGTTCTTTAACATTTTTCGGTTTTCTCTTTTCATTCGCGAGATACGAGGCTCTAAACAGCGATTTTCGTAAAATTGTCGCGTATCAACAAGAGTCTGGGACGAGCGTGGTGTGACGTAACTTAAGGGACTTAATTTCGACGCGCATTATACATTCTATATATTTTCCAGCATGTCAGGCAGTAGCTCGGATTCGGAAAGCACTCATAGTTCTCAATGTGACTCAGAATACAATTATATTCCTGGATATATTATAGAGGATGAATCTAATGATACTAGTCACGAAATTGGAACTCTAGAAGCAGTTGATAGCAAAATTTTAGGCGATTATGATGCATGCCTTTATGCCGATGAACCGCTAGCCGGCGGAGAATGGTACGCACGATATTTCAGAAATTCAGCAGAACACAAGCAACAAAAAGAGATGCTACAGCGAAGGTTAGATGACCTTGAAGATATTAAATTATGGTGAGTGTAAACATAGATTTATTTTAACATTTTAACGTAAAATATAAAGTATCTCTGGCTAATATATTTTGCGGGATACGGGCTCATATGGCATCAGTCACAACAAAGAGTTAAAACCACACTTCCCTCACCTTCGCAAGAAAATACAAGACACGAGATCAAAGAAAATATAAACAGACTGGTTCAGAGCAAATTACGTATATATTCTTGTTTGAAGCTACAGTGTTTCTCTGTGATCACGTTTACTCAATACGAACGATTGTATTTTCTCGCAAGTTCAATTCTTAAAGCCCATTTTTCCAAACAAATAGGTCTGAATCCCGAGTGCAGAGTGATACAGCACGGCGGCTGTGGCACATCCTTCAGAACATCCCTACAAGATTCCATCTCCTGGCAGCACCAAGCTTCGTGTGTATATTGTATATGTATTATCACACAATCGCCGCATTTACACTTGTGAAATATGATACAGGTGAAGGTTTGATGTGACTGATGCCGTATCAAAAATATATCAGCCAGAGATACTTATTTTACGCCGTTAAAATGTTAAATAAATCTATGTTTACGCTCACCATGATTTAATATCTTCAAGGCCGTCTAATCTTCGTTCTAGCATCTCGTTTTGTTCCTTGTGTTCCGCAAAGTTTTAAATATCGCGCGTAGCTTTTATCGCGCATAGCATTCTTGGCTCGCTAGCGGCTCATCGGCATAAAGACAATATGCATCATAATCGCCTAAAATTTCGCTATCAACTGCTTCTAGAGTTCCAATTTCGTGACTAGTATCATTTGATTCATCCTGTATAATATACCTAGGAATATAATTGTATTCTGAGTCACATTAAGAACCATGAGTGCTGAAACACATATGCAAGAACAATCGTTACCTGGAATCACATCCCATTTAACAATCTTTGCCAATCAACCCCAAGTTTCAAAACACTTGCCATGCCTTCAATTAAGTCACTTAATGTAGCTAATTAGTATCGTTTCGAATCGTTTGTATTGTACTATATGTTCGTTTTGTAGTCTTAGAGTTGTTGTCGTTGTTGTTATTGTCGTTTGTCGCTTTTGCCATTGTTGTTGTTAATAACATATAACAACATCATTCTATAATCACCGCCTAATATATGTGTCATACAGTGATTATGAAGACTAATTTCTTGTAAATAAATATTATCTAGTTTTTCAGTATATATAACTCCTCCTAGTGTAGTATAATACTGTTTTAGGAGTATTTCATTAAAGCATTAAAGCATAAAGTCTTCCCAATAGCTTTTTAGTACTCCTTCACATGTGAATTCGAACTTCCGTCCCTTAAGCTACGTCACACGGGTCTCACCCCAGACCCTTTTCCGGTTTTTTCTCGGGCGCGACAATTTTTCGCTAAAAGCCAATTTTTCAAGGTTTAGAGCCTCATATCTCGCGAATGAAAAGAGAAAACCAAAAAATGTTAAAGAACCTATTAACTAACTTTTTGTCCTCTACCAAATATCAAAAATAAGTTTTTGTGACATAAGCACTTTAAACGTAATACCTTCGCGGCTAATTTGAATAACAAAGGTGTCAGTTTCTTTTTACTCACCTTGTAGACAATAGACAAATTTGGCTAAGTTTGTTTATACCCAATTCACAACTTTACATAACTCACATGCCTAATTATCATTGTTCTAGTATACAGAAGCATATATACAGGGTGAGTAAAAAAAACTGACACCTTTGTTATTCAAATTAGCCGCGAAGGTATCAGTTTTTTTTTACTCACCCTGTAGAGTAGAACAAGGGTAACTATTCGGCTAAGCTTTAGAATTATCTACATGAATGAAAGACTTTTATTGTAGTGCTCATCAAATGCTTAGTTACGGTTGTTCTATTCTATGTGTGAACTACTGTAGAAC